GAAGTTAGCATAGTTTAAATGTTCGGTGTTAATGGGTGTTTTATTAATTATATCCGGTGTATATTCTGGTTCCGACGGAAAGATCGAATATAACCAATCAGGATGTGCTGAACAAGAATGTGTATACGCTGGTATTTGACGGGTAGTCGTCTCCGATGGGATATATAAAAGATCATATCTGTAGCATTCATTAAAACTGTATAATCTTGAATTATCAAATGATCTTAAATCCGATATAAATCGTTCATTCATTCTATAAAATATGTGATTTGTTTTGTATATTCTCTATGTAATTTGTATGCTAACAAACGCTTAGCTTTGGTATATGATGTACTTATAACCGACAAACAAATTTTCATGGAAGGTATTAGCAGTTGAATGAAATAATCTTCTGGACTTAGCTGACGTTTTTTGATTTTAAATTGAAGGTTATAAGTTTTACAAAATATGATTATACAATTATATGACCTTTTTCCAAGGAGTTGCTTTCTTTTATTATTTAATCCTGAAGCTACAGTAACTAGTTCTTCAGGTGTTAGTTTAATGTCTTGCCAAATTCCGTGTATTCTAATTCTATACGGCATTAAAATGTTCTGCTTACGACAATTAAGCAGTTATTCGATCGTTGCGTACGTCAAGAATTAATGGTTCAGTTATAGCTTCTAAGAAAAACGTATGATCCAACAGAGGTGAGTCCAAAAACGTTGGTAGTAAGTCTACTTTCTCGGTTATCAATGAATAGAACTCGTTTATAAACTGTTTTCTACCATATCTTGGTATTGGAAAATTTAATGGCAAAATGAATATAAGTCCACGTTTGGTTGCGTTAATAAGTTTGTATAAACTATCCACACAATTAAATACTTTTTCTTTGTTGAAATCAATCAAGTATTTGGAACGTACTTCAAACTGTTTGATCGGCAGATACTTGAAGATGTATAAATAACTTTCGGCAATTTGTTGGTCTTCGTTGAATTTTGATTCACTCAAACGTTTATTACACTCACGACAATGTAATAGCATAAGATTGTCGTCAACCAAAATATGACAAAAAGGACAGTAAGAATAACAGGTGTTATTCCTCGGTTTCCCGTACGGAAAATATTTCGGACACATACAGTCTATAATAAATAATACTATTTATTAATCCAACACCAAATTTATTATAATTTTAATTATTATAAGAAATACAAATATAAGGTTATATAAATTATTTGTATCGAATAAAGCTATGTTGGCAAACGATAAATCCACTAGGAAACCCATTTATAATTTGTGGCAAAAAATTCTCACAACGGGTACAACATTTTCCAGTTTGTGGTAAGCGGTTTATTAGCAAATATCCATTGGTTAGCCCTGTGATCATTAAACGGTTTTTATATTTCTGTAGAAATGTTATAAAATTTTCCATCTGAACGGTATACTTGACTGTCATGAACTGCATATCGTAAATGTATATTAGATTACAATCACATACAACCATCATTTCTCCGGCTCCGATGGCTATTTTCCTAACGTGGGACTCTGGTAATCGATAGGTTTGAAATTCCATCTTTGATTGTAACATAGCTTTAACGTCAAAGCTATAAAGCAGTTGTCCAGTTTCTGACAGTTCAACGCCTACAATCTTCATTTCCCCGATTGTGTATAAATTAAGCGGTTGGTTGTCGAATGATAACAATCTTGTCTGATATATAAGTTCATAGTTGAATGAGTGATTTTCAATATAAACTCTAATCAACGCCACGTTCTCGCCATTTTGTAAGAGTAGGATAAGTCCGTCATTTGGATAGAAGAATCGACGAGCAGATAGTATACTAAAATCTGATACTCCTGTTGCCAAATATCCAATAATTTCATAAGTGACGTCGTGAATATTGCCGTCATTGATTCGGATTAATCGCCCTCCATATGTCATCCCTAGTATGCCAAACTCGGTTTTCTGTAGTGAAACTACACGCTCTTCACCGATGTTTGTAATGTTATACGTGTTTGCATTAAAATAGTATATGTTACTATTATCAGTAATTATGTACATCCCATAGTCGTTGAGTGGAACTATACATGTGACCTCATCAGTTGTCGCTACCATTGATAAACGGAATTGATAGCCGTCGAGACTGTAAACGTATAGATATCCAGTGTTGAGTCCAATGACAATTTCTCTTGACGAGATACCAACAGCTGTAACGTACGTGTCGTATGTGTGCCAATTATCGGTCAGTAAAATTTCCGTTGGTGCCATTTTTGGATTTATTGGTGAATATTCGGTGATGACATCAGGTTTAAGTTGTTCCATCCAATGTATATCTACAGGTTTCAACTGATCAGATAGCCACCAGTTACCATCCACTGGTGCCCGCAGACCAGTATCCCAAACCTGGGGTAGGTCAGACTCGGTCTTAACTGTTATCTCGTTTTCATAACAGCCGTGAAAATTTTCAACAAATTGAACAATTGGCTCAACACCCGCATTGATATTAGTAATGGTTTCATCACAAGGTTCAGTTTTGATGCGTTTTGGTGATGACTCACCATAAATCGCATCGATATCTGTATTCGAAATAGGTGACGTTCCAGAAGATAGTTCATCAAATCCGAGTGAGTGCATCTCTTCTAATATTTTATTGTTATCGTATGTAGATAATGTAGTGAAGAAGTCGTCCATTTCTTCTTTGCTAAGCGGGGCAAAGTCTGGACTTTCATATGACGTTGAAGGTTGTGGTTCCATACTACGTAGTGATAAATGTATTATAGGCAACGCCCTAAGACATCATGCTCGGACAGGCCTATAATTTATGTTGAATACTGGCTACGCCCAAAGCCATTCGGCTCGGACTCAACGCCAGTCTCGGGTATCATTTGATCCCTCATCGTTGCTCACCAAATGTAGGGGAAGTGGGGTATTACTGACATTTAGGACTAAGCTAAACTAACTTATGTAAACCAAAACACTCGGTAATATACCACCGGCCCTTACGGTTGGGCTCTCAACCCGGTCGGTTTCGTGGTGTGTGGCTTAAGGGGCGAGCGGATCCCCTTGTTCCCCGACATAGTCGGGTAACTCCTACTATACGGGAGTAACCGTGTTCATGTTTGTAGTTGACAACGGACATGTCATCGGGTATGCAATTACCTTCAGGATAGGATACCTTATAGATGGATTACCATATACGTAGGTTGCTTTATAGGAGTTAACCCATAAGTAGGTTATCATATATGTAGGTTGCCGTATAGGTAGGTTATCTTATAGGTAGGTAAACATACAGGTAGGTTATCTTATAGATGGACTACCATATCGGCAGACAACTATAGATAGGTTACCGTGCAGTTAGATTACCTTATAGATAGGTTACCATATAAGCAGGTTACATTATAGATAGTTTACTATATGAGTAGGTTCCTTATAATCAGATTACAATATAGGTAGGTTATCTTATAGGTATGTTATCCTAAAATATTGCATACCTCAGTGTCTCTGTCATGTCGTTAGTTTAGGTTCTCTCGTAGGTTCATCTGTAGGTACTCTCGTAGGTTCACCTGTAGGTACTCTCGTAGGTTCACCTGTAGGTACTCTCGTAGGTTCACCTGTAGGTACTCTCGTAGGTTCACCTGTAGGTACTCTCGTAGGTTCACCTGTAGGTACTCTCGTAGGTTCACCTGTAGGTACTCTCGTAGGTTCACCTGTAGGTACTCTCGTAGGTTCACCTGTAGGTACTCTCGTAGGTTCACCTGTAGGTACTCTCGTAGGTTCACCTGTAGGTACTCTCGTAGGTTCACCTGTAGGTACTCTCGTAGGTTCACCTGTAGGTACTCTCGTAGGTTCACCTGCAGGTACTCTCGTAGGTTCACCCGTAGGTTCACCTGTAGGTTCACCTGTAGGTTCACCCGTAGGTTCACCCGTAGGTTCACCTGTAGGTTCACCCGTAGGTTCACCCGTAGGTTCACCCGTAGGTTCACCCGTAGGTTCACCCGTAGGTTCACCCGTAGGTTCACCCGTAGGTTCACCCGTAGGTTCACCCGTAGGTACACCCGTAGGTTCACCCGTAGGTTCACCCGTAGGTTCACCCGTAGGTTCACCCGTAGGTTCACCCGTAGGTTCACCCGTAGGTTCACCCGTAGGTTCACCCGTAGGTTCACCCGTAGGTTCACCCGTAGGTTCCAATAAGAGTTCGGGTGTGAGATGCCCCCGTATACGGTACGGTGCCGGAGTTCTCATAATAAAAATATTTACTTACGTAATAGTTGTTTAACGTCCGCGTGGTTATGGATGTATTCTGAAGGCGTCCCTTAAGATGTCCAACGATTGGTCCGCGTCGAGAAAGTAAACACACACAAAGTAATATGCAAATACTTTTATTAATTCACTCTAAAGCAATACACGTAGTATGACTCCAAGTGGAGAACTGATTTTGGTGTTTGAGAGACACCTCTATTTATACTAAAGTGTACGTTCATAAAAAGTGTGTCACATTGAGTCAGGTTTTAATCACTATTAAAACTGGGAGTTTACTATTTAATTTTTTCTATAACATTTTAGTGCATTATTTTAACACTAAAATATTGAATAAAATTTCCTTAAAAACAAGGTGTTTACCTTTAGGTTTTCTGTATAACATTTTAGTGCTGTTATAAATTTTTAACAAATAAAAATAAGAATAATTTTTGAAATACTTTTTCGGAGTAAAACAAATAATATACCCTTACAATATATTTTAATTATGTATGTTATCCTTGACTTCAATATAAAATTATTTAATGTAGAAATATTAGTGTATATAAGCATTTGTTTATTATAGGGAAAGTTTTCAATAATTTAGCTTATGTAATAATTATGTTTTTTAATTATTTAAATAAAAACAAAACTTATTTAATAGTTAAATATTTTGCTGATTTGACCCACTATTGCAATATATATATATATAATAAAGATAAATCCTAAAACTGCACCGGTATTGGTATATACTGAGGGTGGACCGGGAGCCTCATCAATATTGTCAATGTTTCAATGGCAACCATTACAAGTAAACGACAAACTAAATATCACAATAAATCCGTATTCATTGAGTCAAGTGTTTTCAATCGTTTATGTGGATAGTCCTGTGGGAACGGGATTCAGTTATACCGATCATCCGGATGGCTATTGTAAAGATCAGCCAACTATTGCTAAAAATTTATACGAATTTCTACAACAGTTTTACACTATATTTGATGACTACCGGAGCAATGATTTATATTTAGGCGGAACATCATATGCGGGAAAATATGTGCCATCATTTGGTCACTACTTAATACAAATGTCACACATTTCTAAACTMAATTTCAAAGGYATACTCGTTGGCAATGGTCTGACTGATCCAATCAATCAGATKGYATACGATAAGACACTATTGACATTGGGATTAATTGATGAAAATGAAGCCAACGAATTGCAAAACTTTCAGAATCGGATTAAAGGTTTAATWAAATCCAGAGATTATAGCAAAGCGTCGACTTTATAYCAACAGTTAAGTAAGTAATCATTTAATTATTTATTTATTAAATAAATTTTTTTAAATAAAAAAATAATTATTAAAATATTGATATATAAGTAAAATAAAAAGTRWTAAAAATAATATATAAGCTAATTATTACAGTWATAATTAATTAATTATAATATTTTGTTGTTGTTGTTATAGTGTTAGCAGTATTTCAACCTAAACCCAGTTATCTAACCAATACAACCGGTTATAAAGATTTCTACAATATTTATCAATCGGATAGTATAGCTAATRTATCCATAATTAATGCCATCAGATATCTATTACAACCATCGATACGTAATGCTATACATGTGGGAAATRTTACCAACAATTTGTTTAGTGAAGTAGTGTTTCACTATATGGAGACAGATATCAGTCGATCGGCTGAACCAAATCTGACGGCAATTATYGATAACGGATCCAAAGTATTGTTATTTACCGGTAATTTTGATATTATWTGTGGCGTCGAGTCTACCAATGGATTACTGATGAATAAAAGTATTTATATTTATTTTAAAATCAAATATTTAAAAATTATTTKACAATTTATTTATTTATATTATTTATTTTCATTGTATTTAAATAGATTGGAAATATTATAACGATTACAATARAGCCAAACGARACATTTGGAGAGTCAATRCAAACGACACACAAATAGCCGGTTATGCAAAAAGTTTCGGTAATTTTACTCAYGTTATCGTCCGTAATGCCGGTCACGGATCGCTGTTAGACCAGCCCAGGGCTACACAGGATATGGCCATCAGATTTGTCAAATCACTACCGTTTGGATAATTTTTTATTTGTATTAATTAACACTAAAAAACAAAAATATGAAAAAGTTTCAATACTTTTCATATAAAAAATAAATTTCATAAATACAATTAAAATTTTATTGAATTTCTATACTATTGAAATATTGTAAATTATAAATTTTACTATTATATACTATTATATTTGTACATTTATATTATTAAAAATTATAAGAAATAATAATATATTTCCCTATTTGTGAATTTAGTGACAATTTAAATACTGTGTAATTAATGTATAAATGAAAATATTTTAATTAAAAATAAAAACAGTTAGACMTGTGCCTAAAAATAACTTTTAATTATTTATGTGTATAATATACACTATTACCGGTAATTATATTAACAATACATTTGGTTGTACTGTACTTTTCAATAGATAAAGTTTATTAAAACTAATTATCAGTCAACCATTATCTAAAAGTGTTAAAAAATTATTATTTTTTAAATATATAAAATATAAAACATATGTATTTTTTTGTAGAAATTTGTTAATTTATATAAAATGATTTTTTTTCAAGTTATTAGATTTATTTATTTTTTATTGCATTTTTAWAAAAACATTCAATCRTTTAATTTAGATTATTATATTTATTGAAACTATTATTATATATTTGAAAAATTATTAAAATTATTACTGTAATATACTTATAATTTTTTAAAGAAATTTATAATTTTATAATATTAAATTAAATTAAATTAATCAAAAAAAGTGATTAATAACTGAGTAAGGTAAAATTWTATATATAGATTTATCATAAATCAAATTTATTTTAAATCAACGTCTAGTTTGATTAGCTTAACAATATAGTTGACTATACAGTGAAACACCAGCCATATGGACACACCTAACCAAATGCCAATCAGACCACCGAAATCGCAAATACATGCTATCAGCGGTACCTCAGGTATCGACTCAATGATTATATCGTTGCGATTATGGTGTCTAACGTTGATAGCAGTTGTCTTGCAATCGTTTGCACCGTATTTGCCAATAGTATCGACCAAAATAAAGTCGACAAAACTTTCGTGACAATTGGGTTGACATTTTAGTTGACATTGTGTCCAACTTTCCCGATATATTTGTTGCGTACAATTAGTAGTCGATTGAAAATCCTGACACAGTTTATAATCAAAGTGTCGGCTCACTTGTTCAGCTCTAATCGGGAACTGAATATCTGGCGAATTGGTGGCCAAACATCGTGCTTCTGGACACTGTTTGCGTAACTGTCGGAACCAACAATCGACAGCACATTCCCGGTGCGTACGACTGGCCAGTGACTGGTCGCTTAGATTATAGTAACGGCAATCGGTATCGTACGGTGCCGGCAGTTTTGTTACTTCAACGAGACCGTAGTCCAGGTTCATATTGGTTCCCATAGTTACCCGTACAAAATGCGAGTCCATATTGAACAGTACGGACGAGTTGGGCGAATGTACCGATAGATAGAACGGATGACGTTCACAATAGRCCGGAGGTATGTCATCGTCGGTACATTGGACAGTCAGATTGATTTTGCCCAACTCTACGTGCAATTGATCCCATTTGTTACCATTWAGTGAACTGAAAAATGTTACACATTTAATAAGTCCAGATCTAAGTGCCAGCGAATGAATCGGTTGGTTATCGCACAGATACGTCCAATGGGTTTGATTCCAGACTTTTATACAAGCCTTGACATTATCGACAGGAAATGACTTATCAATCACTTCCATAATCGACTGACCCTCGTATGAGAAGTTGAATTCGCCTAACAATCGGTAGATCTGGTCTTTGAATGTCTGGTTCGAGCATTGGTTTGTTGTTGTTGTTGTTGTTGTACTGTTGACTAAATCCATATATCGTTGATAACGGTCTCTATTACGGCCGTCCAATGGATCCAAGTGTTTCAGCGACCAATATGTGGGCAAACATACGGTTACCGCCGGTATCTGTTTATTGGTTAGTCTCTGATAGCGTGTTATAACTAACGTACGGCCTCTTAGATATCTGGTAACCAATTCAGTGGTATTATAGAGAAAACCAGTCAAACAAATGGCCATAAATAGTAATTTAATAAATTTAACTAGATAATATTTGTTATTATTATTATTTTTATTATCAGTGTTTTTAGCATGGTTATTTTGTTTGATATCAACTTGTCTAGTAAACAATTTCCATGATAATTGTTTGTTCATGATAAATTAACAAATTTTTATTGATTGAAATTAATAATAATTATTATTTTTTTCAATAATAATAATTATTATTTTTTTCAATAATAATAATAATAATTTTATTATTATTATACTATTTTCTAGAAAATATTTGTTTATTAAATAATAATAATTATTTTACTTAAATGTATTCAACTTGATTTTCAAAATATCAAAATATTGTAGTTTAGTTAAAACTCATATATAAATAAATTATAATATATTATTTAGTAAATTTTAATGTATATATGTATTAACATAAAAAATATTAATTTATAAATGCATAAAAAATCAATAAATAATATAAAAATGTGTATTTAAATAAATCTTTTAATTATTTAGATTATACAATAACAACAAAATAAATAAATAAAATATATAACTTTATTTAACATTATTTTTACATTATGTTATAATTCAATAAATCAATAAATTATTTTTACAATTATGTGATTTACAAAATGAAAATAGAAACAAAAAGCAAACAAATAATAAAATTAAATAATAATACATTAAAAATGATAAATCAATTTTTATCAACAAAAAAATTATAATTAATTTTAAATTTTATTATTATGATTTGTTTGGTCTGTAAACAATTATTATATAATTATAAATATTATACGTATTAACTACAATATGCATAAATAATTGAAAAAATAAAACGAAAATCGTATAAATCAACTAAATACAAAAATTTAAAAACATTAWAAATTGTACTTGGTTGTTTAAAATGCTTATCGTTTTCTTAAAATTAATATTCAAGTAAAAGCATCAACAACCAAATACATTATAAATTGTACTTGGTTGTTTAAAATGCTTATCGTTTTCTTAAAATTAATATTCAAGTAAAAGCATCAACAACCAAATACATTATAAATTGTAGATGCATATCGTTTTTATAAAACAACCAAATACATTATAAATTGTAGTTGGTTGTTTCAGATGCATATCGTTTTTATAAAATTAGTATTCAAGTAAAAGCATCAACAACCAAATACATTATAAATTGTAGTTGGTTGTTTCAGATGCATATCGTTTTTATAAAATTAGTATTCAAGTAAAAGCATCAACAACCAAATACATTATAAATTGTAGTTGGTTGTTTCAGATGCATATCGTTTTTATAAAATTAGTATTCAAGTAAAAGCATCAACAACCAAATACATTATAAATTGTAGTTGGTTGTTTCAGATGCATATCGTTTTTATAAAATTAGTATTCAAGTAAAAGCATCAACAACAAATACATTATAAAATACATTATAAATTGTAGTTGGTTGTTTCAGATGCATATCGTTTTTATAAAATTAGTATTCAAGTAAAAGCATCAACAACCAAATACATTATAAATTGTAGTTGGTTGTTTCAGATGCATATCGTTTTTATAAAATTAGTATTCAAGTAAAAGCATCAACAACCAAATACATTATAAATTGTAGTTGGTTGTTTCAGATGCATATCGTTTTTATAAAATTAGTATTCAAGTAAAAGCATCAACAACCAAATACATTATAAATTGTAGTTGGTTGTTTCAGATGCATATCGTTTTTATAAAATTAGTATTCAAGTAAAAGCATCAACAACCAAATACATTATAAATTGTAGTTGGTTGTTTCAGATGCATATCGTTTTTATAAAATTAGTATTCAAGTAAAAGCATCAACAACCAAATACATTATAAATTGTAGTTGGTTGTTTCAGATGCATATCGTTTTTATAAAATTAGTATTCAAGTAAAAGCATCAACAACCAAATACATTATAAATTGTAGTTGGTTGTTTCAGATGCATATCGTTTTTATAAAATTAATATTCAAGTAAAAGCATCAACAACCAAATACATTATAAATTGTAGTTGGTTGTTTCAGATGCATATCGTTTTTATAAAATTAATATTCAAGTAAAAGCATCAACAACCAAATACATTATAAATTGTAGTTGGTTGTTTCAGATGCATATCGTTTTTATAAAATTAATATTCAAGTAAAAGCATCAACAACCAAATACATTATAAATTGTAGTTGGTTGTTTCAGATGCATATCGTTTTTATAAAATTAATATTCAAGTAAAAGCATCAACAACCAAATACATTATAAATTGTAATTGGTTGTTTCAGATGCATATCGTTTTTATAAAATTAATATTCAAGTAAAAGCATCAACAACCAAATACATTATAAATTGYAKTTGGTTGTTTCAGATGCATATCGTTTTTATAAAATTAATATTCAAGTAAAAGCATCAACAACCAAATACATTATAAATTGCATTTGGTTGTTTCAGATGCATATCGTTTTTATAAAATTAATATTCAAGTAAAAGCATCAACAACCAAATACATTATAAATTGCATTTGGTTGTTTCAGATGCATATCGTTTTTATAAAATTAATATTCAAGTAAAAGCATCAACAACCAAATACATTATAAATTGTAATTGGTTGTTTCAGATGCATATCGTTTTTATAAAATTAATATTCAAGTAAAAGCATCAACAACCAAATACATTATAAATTGTAGCTGGTTGTTTCAGATGCATATCGTTTTTATAAAATTAATATTCAAGTAAAAGCATCAACAACCAAATACATTATAAATTGCATTTGGTTGTTTCAGATGCATATCGTTTTTATAAAATTAATATTCAAGTAAAAGCATCAACAACCAAATACATTATAAATTGCATTTGGTTGTTTCAGATGCATATCGTTTTTATAAAATTAATATTCAAGTAAAAGCATCAACAACCAAATACATTATAAATTGGAGTTGGTTGTTTCAGATGCA